AATTCACAGACCCATAAAATCCATCCATAGAACTGTAGGTCTGTGAACCTCTGGTTAAGAAACTCTGATGGAGGGTGAGCAGATTGTGCCAATCAGGAGTAGGCTAGAAAAAACTAAATACAGGGGTAGTTAGTTTGGTAGAACTCTTTTGGTGTCAGGGCCGTCACTGCTGGTTTCATCTGTCATCCTGGCTATTTATATTTGTGTGTTTTCCCCTGTCCTTCCTCTGGAGGAAGAGACTCTGTATGGATAACCAGCTGGCATCATAGGTTGTGAGGAATGACAGGCAATTTATCATTCAGAAAATAAGCCAGATCTTTTTAGACTTGGTTTAATGCCTTATGCCACATTCTGGTGGAAATCTTTCTACAGCTAGGGCCATCTTTATAATTTCAGTGAAGCAGGAATTCCATTCTATCAAGGTTGATAAACTGCCTTTCATCTAATATGTTATCTTAAGTAGGGGCAGCATCCTTATTTGATATGTGTGAATGCTTTTGCTAACGCAAACCAGAGATCTTTTGTAAAAAGATTAGGGTAGTGTTCATGCTGGCTACTCAACATGTTTCTGACTCTGCTGTATGATACATACACATGCATACACACATCACCAGTCTTAGAATATACTTTTGAAGAGAAAAAACAAATATTTGTGCAAACACCAAGGGCAAAAATATATCCCTTTATTCCATATATTTGTGAGCTTTGAAAGGGAATGGAAAAGAAACTGTTCTGATAAAGAGCATTTTGAGGCTAGGACTTTATTTTCTGAAATGCAATGAAATCTCATTCATTTAGATTTCACTAATTCAGTATTTGTTGTTTTAACTAGAATTGAAGCTTTTCTCAGCATCATCTATGGAGAAAAAGTTTGCAGAACAAATGAATGATGGTATAAGAAGATTGTAGGAATTTGTTAAATCTCTTTGAGTATAAGGTGTTTTGAAGTTCCTTAGCACAGTAAGACTATGCAAATGGTATTATTTATGACAAAAAAGTCATCAATTTATTAAAGCAGACCCAGCAGGACTTCGATTTGGAAACGTTTTATTAGCAAATTAGCTTAGTTACTTGATTTTCTAGAAAATAATAAAGCAACCTTGAAAAAAAAAGTATTCTGCAATATTTCCCTAATCCTGATTGACTTTCTCTCAATTAGCACAAATTAGTGACATCTGACAGTTTGTTCTTAAATCAGCCTTATGCTGCTCTAATCTTTTTGGATCTGTTTGGCTAACTACCCAAAGATTAAAGAATATCTCATACATTTAAAGGAAATGGGGCAATTATTTTGACTAACCATTTGCTATTTTATTCCCTAAGGTCCTGATCATCCCCATAGTTTGTCATACAAACTGGAACTTGGATCAGACCAAGAAATACCTTCTGACTGGTACCCATTTGCTACGGTTCAGTTTGTCATGCTTACCAGTTACGCTTCGAAGACAGAAATGAAATCTATGGGCATAGAGAATGATGTCCAGCCCCAGAAGCATGTTGTTCAGAAAGCTTTCTATAACTGCCAGGTGAGTCCCAAGTTCTTTTGATCCATCTGGGGGGCTATAGGAACTGTGAGTTAGTTTAGTTTTAAATGCTTTGTTTGAACTGTTTAAGTAGTTATATATGTATGTACTTAAGTCTAAGGAATATTTGAGACAAAGATTATGGCCATAAATATCTGACTAGTCATTAGTAAGCACAATGTGTGTACAAGAGAACACATGTTCCTTGACCACTGAGAACTTTCCATAGGAAATGCCTTAAATAAGTAAAAAGAGTTTCAAGAAAATGTACATATATTGTAACCAGTAATCGGATATAAGCTTTTTGAGAACATGGACTATTTTATTTTTGTCTTTGTATACCCTAGCAGTTACCACTGTGTTTGTGCATAGTAGGTACTTAAGAAATGTTGAATGAATGAACACAATAGTTATGATATTATATTACCTAACCTAGTGCAAGGAAGCAGATGTTCACAATATTCAGCATCTTCTATGTATTTTTTGAAACTGACACACTTCCTTGTCCTCCTCTTGTCACTGCACCATCACCTACACCTATCCATGTATTCCTAAACTTTGTCTTCCTTCAATTATTCAACTGATCTAAGTAAATAACTATCTAGATCATCTCTGCTTCAAACTTATCATGTTACCCTGAAATGTTCTGATGTGTTAGTGTTTCAAATATGGTTTTGTTTCTATCTCTGGACCCAAGTAACATTTCCCATTTTCTAATAATTATATTTTAAAATGTATATCTTTTGTTTTTATATCACTTTCACTTGCAAATATATCCTTTCCACTGATATTTTAAAACCCACTCATGTAACTTGAATATCAGGTTTAGTTCTGTCATTTTGTTTTTTTCCACTTTGGGGCCCATAGTACAATTAATGTGATAATGTTACATGGCACTAGCACCAGCTCATGATTTTATCTCACAGTGGCATAAATTATTACATTTGAAGCTACATTGATAAATCTCTTATCAACATTTAAATGTGTATACATTTTAGTGAAACACTGTATTGATGGGTTGACTGTAAGGAGTAAGGCCCTTTTCCCCAGTGTTATATTCTGGAAGCTAGTCTGTGTTTAGGATCTGTACAACACAATGTGACTTGCATGTATTTGTAAAAAAGTAGTGGATGCCTCATTTACTCATAAAATATATCTATGTCCAATATGTAGCAAAGGCTTAGGTATTGTAACTGTGCTCTATTTATTAATGCATCCCATGTTTTATTTTGTACCACAGGTTGAAATAGAAAAGAAATGGATTAGAATTGATGGAGAAGACCCGGATAAGGCTGGAGACTGCATAACTCAGTAGAAGAAACAAGACCTGACAATGAAAAAGAGTGACCTATTCTTTAGATGTGTATTTCAGAGAAAATAACAATAATAACAAGTCCCAACAAATGACTTACTATTGGATAGGAATAGATATTGAACCTCTCATTTCATTGATAAAAGGAACTTCCAGATGAGAAAATTCTCTCAGCCAATGCAGGTCTCCAACTCCAGTTACCTTATGGGATGAAAAAGTTCCACTGTGAACACTTGTGTTATTCAGAAGCAGAAGGACCATGTTTTATGTTTGGAGAAGTCTAACATCTGAAGTCCATCATAGACTCAATGATATCCTCGAGAGAGTCATGTCTTCCATGTTTTAATCTAAAACTATTCTCTTTTGTGCAAGGCTTTTGTTCTCCTTGAACTTGAAACTTAACGGTGTTGGTCAAGTTAATTGATGTGACCTAGCATCTAGATGACCCAAAGTAGCTGCTCCTCTAGGGTATTCAGTGTCTGACAGCTTTAGGGCTATGCTGAAACATTGCTTTTCCTCCTTCAGCCTTTAGCCTCTTTTCCTATTGGCATCTTTATTAGAGAATGGGGAGATGAAACCCAAACCAATCAGTTTAGCTTCTTGCTAATGGCATTGGAAAAGGGCTTTGAGTGAGAGAACGTTGAAACTATAATGTAAAATGGAGGTTTGGGATATATACTGGCAAGAGTAATGAGACCTAGGTCATAGTCTCAGCTCTGTTACTTGCTAGTCATATGACTTTGGGCTAATCACTTCAATCTCTTTGAGTCTCAGTTTTCGTTTCTATAAATTGGGGATAATACTATCTGGACACAGGGGATGACTTGTCATCTGATCGAACACCCTCATTTTATAGATAAGAAACTAAAGCCCAGAGAAGTTAAATGACTTTTCCAGGGTCGCACAGGCAGTAAGTGGTAGAGATGGTATTTGAATTCAGGTCCTCTACCTCCACATCCACTGTAGGTAAATCCACTGCTTGGAAAGCACTTTAGCAAAGTATGACGGGATCATGGATTTAAATGACCTATGTCTTCCATGGATGGTCTTCAGCAGAATGGAGAACTGAGAATTGACTATATTTAGAAAATGTTTTCCCATAATTTCTAATGATTATATCTTTACATTCTTTACTCCCTTCAGGACTTGTATGGCTTCTAATATGTGATGCGAATGTATATGAAATACCTAAGAAGTCATTCATGTGGAGAAATATTCTATTTTGGCAAATCAGTAATGACCTTTTCCTTGAAAGGATGTTCCTTTCAAAATGGAATCCTAACATTGTGACCGTTGTACTTCTGGGCTTTGATAATTCTGAAGTCTTACTTTGGACAGTAGTTAAAATATGCAAGTGATTTTAAATGATTATTTTTTAAAAATACATAACTATTATTCCTCTAAAATTGAAATACTAGTAATATGGAAAAGTTATTAGCATAGATTATTTTTTTAAACCCTGAGATAAGCCTCAAGTGAAGGGAAATCCAAATAGTATAGCCAAAAAAAAGATTATTTTCTCCCTTGGAGAAGCTAAGCATAATAGGAAGTAGATGGGAAATTATGAGAATATTCTGAACTGGGTAGATAAGGTATTGCATTACAGTGATTCTAAAACATGACGTAAATGATTATAATCATTGGGCATCTATTGAAAGCCTCACAGTATTAGCAGATTTTATTCTGCTTCTGGTTTTATCTTCCCACATTTGAGGGAAAGGGCTAGTTTTCCAAGTGTAAGTAGTCTTGCATTCTGCATAAATATCCTGAAAAGGAAGTCTCTCAGGGAGACTATCCTTCACTTAGTGTTCAGTCTTAAATATTTGTCATTATCTACTAAAGTCACCTACTGAAACAATAAGTGGTCTAATATTTTCCCAGACATTTATCTGTTTGACTTAAAGTTACTTCTGTAGATTATGTTTAATATTGTATAGCACTCATTTTAATCTATTTGCTCAATAAACCAGATGAATTTTTTTTTCCTTTTACATTTCTTGGTGGTCTGCATAAGTAAGCAGTTTTTATTGCTTTTTTTTAGTGTAAAGATAAAGTAATATAAAATAGTTGAATGTTTAACTACATTTGTATTAGTATTTTAAAAACTATTCTTGATTTGATACTTCTTTGTGATTCCGTGATCTCATCAGTGTGGGCACTTCCCTCCATCAATGCAGATCAGAATCTATTCATACCCCCTCATGCTCTGCAGTTCTTAACTTGTGCCTTTCTATATACGTCTTTTACAGTCACTACCCAACAGGCTGGAGGCCTGTATCACAATACTCACTGGATTCAAACATCTAATGCTTAAAATTCATCTTGGATGAAATGGAGGGTGAATTGTTTATGTGTTTACAGCCTCCCCCTTATCAATTTTCCCTCCTTCCATTCTCTTCCTGATTTCTCCTTTGTCCATTTCTTTTTCATCTGATGTGCCCTGGTTCTGTAACTCCATGGATCTGTTTAGCACAAAGCAATGCAAGAGTGGGCTAGGTCCTCTGAATCTGTAAGATGGTTCTAAGGAATTTCATTGGAATAATTCCACCATTTCTTTATAAGCCTGTTTTATGCCCACAAAGAACTTAGATCTTGTTTCAAATGAATTTAATGAATATTTAAACTTGGAAATATATTTAGCTAATGACTGAATTAATTGCCCCTCCCTGCTCCACAAGTTGGCAATTATCTTTGGGCATCCCATTGTCAGTGTTCTTTCCTCACAATGACAGCCTGCTTCTTTGGAGAATCTTGAGATTCAGTGTGCAGAATAGAATAAGAAGGGGAGCTAAGCTCCAGCCTGAGAATCTGTGGGAAGGCCAAGGTTGATGGCATTAACAGCAGTATGCCAAGGCATAATTGTTAATTTACACATTTACGAGGATCCTTAAATATTCATTACTTAGTGTTAAATTAACATTCTGTGATAGGGAATGGGCTTCTTAGCAAAATTCTTCTGACCTTTGAAATGGCAGGAGGTCATCTGTGACATAGGAACTCAAGCAAGAAGCCAGGGAGAGTCAATTAGATTTACAAATTAGAAGTAAAATGTTATCTCCTAGGGACAAGCAAGTAAAAGATAATTGCAAAGAAACGTGATTGAGGGGAGGTAGGGTAGTGTTAGACTTTGAATTTTGGTTCTCCGTCAGGTATGATCTGAATAAATGTCCCCACGATCTGTGAATTGGACTGTCTAGGATACCACCTATTAGAACATTCTAAGTTACAGAATCAAAAGTTAATTCAGTTGTCAAAATGACTGTTTTGAATAGTTGACTAGATTGCAAATGGCTGACCTGGTGTTTTAATGCAAATCATGGTTCTTTTCACTGTTGTCAGTAGTATGCTGAGATATTGGGCAGCATTTGGAGCAGTTTAGAAAAGGGAGCAATTTGTTACCCGAGCTCAAGGTACGTGGGTACTTGGCAATAAGTCCCGCAGAGAATTCTGCGTTGGAGTGGGGTAGTAATTCTATTTAGGGTATATAACACAGATTCCAGTAACAGGAAGCTGCTGGTGATTTTGAAACTCTCCAGTTGTCTGTGTGTAAGCAGTTTCATACACAGCATGATCAGTGGTGATATTGGGCAACACTGTGTCCTAATCTTTGTGTGTGAAGCTCTATTGTTTTCTGGGGGTTCAGTCAGTGTAATTAGATTATATCTGGTGTTTGCTGTCCCCTTGAGAAACTAGGCTCTGGGAAATCAATGAATCTTATGCAGTGGGGAAAAAAACCAGTGATGAGAGAGACAAAGAGAGAGAGGGAGACAGAGACAGAGAGAAAGGGAGGGAGAGAGAACATTCTCTAGGGTGGTAACTATACAACAGGTATTCAGCCTTTAACAGCTAGAAAGATGAGTAAATCAGATTGACTTCATGAATGGAGTGCTTGATGATGATCAGCCTGAAAAAAGTCAAGATGATTAATTGTAAATATTTGAATTTAGTTTAGTGATGAGAATTTTCCCTCTTTGTATAGGAATGAAACTTTTCATCTCTGAAAAATAAATGCAGCACTAGTGGTTTTAATTTTGCTTTCTTTTAAAGCTCATGTTGATATAATAAAAATGTTCAATCATTCCCTCCCTTCCTGATTCTCATTGAATTAATATTTCCCTCCTCCCCAAGGCTAGTATTCTTAGTCTATTTCTATATGATTTGGTTCATTTGGATATGAGACCAAAACTTTTAACTGTATGATACATGCATAGACCTAGTATTTCTGGGTCTGTGTTTCCTAGGATGGCTGTGTGGGTGAGTTCAGAAAGTCTGGCTGATTAGACAGATCCAGTGTTTTGTTTGACTATATGCTGATAGAAACATAGCCTTGGTTACCCTGTAGATAAAGTAGGTTAGTTCTTAGCAGTAATGAACACTGTGGTCAGAGGATCCTTCTAAAGGCAGCAAAATAAAAATTGGTATAAATTAATTAGGATGAATGGTTATCCTAGGATGTTCAATAGACTTTGAAAAGGAAAGATGACTTGGAGTCATGGGGAGAGTGGAGTTGAGGTACATTAGGATCATAAGATTTACTTCTAGAAGCTTAAAAAGATTAAGTGCAACCCTCTCATTTTATAGATGAAGAACCTAATGTCTGGAGAGGAAAAGTCACCTGTTCAAAGTCACAAATCCAGTGTGCTAACTTGCTGATGTCTAGCAGGTGGTTTATGTACATTAACATGCATCAAAAAGCCAAATCACAGTTTAGTTCTCTATACTTTCCTTCTTCTGTTTCCATGGTTTATATTATTTTTATTACTGAACACTAACTCAGTTATGACTAGTATTTGCCCCAGAATGATTGCTCCAGATGTCTTCACTCAGTTTAGATGAATTGAGCAATCATTCACACAATGCCAATTTTGTTTGTTTTGCAAAAGTTTTCTTTGCTGGTCAACAGCTATAATCAGCCAAAGTCAAAACTGTTGAGTTGTCATTTGACAATTTATACGTAACAGTGATTAAGGAATGTGCTTTGCTCAGAATATCATTTCATAGTTTGCTAAGTAAATATAACCCAGATCAAATTTCTGGTCTTTTAAGCAACTCCTCTGGGGCTCCTTCCCCAACTTTGACTCAAAGGTCTGGTCCCCAGAAGATGGGGTCCTCTCCCTTTACAATTCTAGGGCTAACCCTAAGGAGCTGGGGTTTCTAGAATGGTCACTCACAAGCCCTCACTGGTGTGCTTTGCCATTGACTATCAGCCACTTGCCTCAATTAGTTTTAGCAAAGGTATTTACTAAGGTGACGTAGTAAAAACAATCGGTACAAAACATTTTCCCCAAATCTTGGGTATATTTTCCCCTTGCATACACAAGGTCCCTAGGTAGAACAGGCTCAAATTTACAGTACGATGTTAATGAGGTATGCATGCAGAGAACATACATGGCCAAAGGGTAAATTCCCAGCTTGTGGTTACTGGAAACTGTTCTCTCTTCATAGGGCCTTCATGACATTTCCCTTAGGTGTAGCTCTCTGCTGCAAGGAAGGAAATAAACAAGCATTTATTAATCCCTTATGATGAGACAGGCATGGGGCTAAGTGCTTTACAAGTAATATCTTATTTGAGACACAACAATTCTAGGTAGTAGGTGCTATTACTATCTCTATTTTATAGTTAGAACTGAGGCAGACCGAGGTTAAGTGATTTGTCCAGGGCCACACAGCTAGTAAGCATTTGAGGCAGGATTTGAACTCAGGTCTTTCTGACTCCAGACCTAACACTTTATCCATTGTACCACCCAGTGAGTTCTAGGGCTCCAAGGGGCTATGCCTCTATTGAGGCTGGCACAGCTGGCACTTATCGCAGTTTTAAGGGGTCTCACTCTCTGAAGCTGTTGCTGTTTTCAAGTCTTTCCAAAGCCCTCAGTAAGCACTTTCTCTGTCATTAGTCACTACCGCTGCCAAGGCTGATGCTACCACCACCAGCACCTGGGGGCCTTAGCAGGTGCAGGTCCCTTTCAGGGAGTTGGCTGCAGCTCCTTCACCATTAAATTGGCCAGCTGCTGGAATGCACAATTCTAAACTGTCTTGCTGTTTGATGCATAGACCCAGACTCGCGTCTGATTCTTTTGACCAATCATTAGATATTTCCTGTGCAGTATCATCTATCTTTAGGCAATGATTAAGGCAATGTATTCTTATTTTTGATTAATTCACTTAATTAGTCTGAGTGGGCCTTCTGTTATTGCATTAAGTGGGGTCAGGATGGAAATACTGTTGTAGTCATAACAAAATATTTTATAAATTGCATATTGACTTTTTAAAAAAAGAATTAAAGATGTATTTCAAATGACCATTCTGTGTGATTTTTTTTGCAATGTTATTGTTGTAGTCATTTTTGCTATGGAATCACTTCCAATAAGCAAATAATTGAGTATGTCAGATGTGTGTAGGCTATGAAAGAATCAGCTAGTATAGTGTCTTAAAATATACTGGAAAAATAAATGCCAAGCTGCAACTGATGATGACATAGGCCCACTGGATCATAAATTTAGAGATAGAAGGGACCTCACAGGCCATCTAGTACAACTCCCTCATTTTACAAGTGAGGAAACTGAGGCACAGAGAGGCAAAGTGATTTGCCCAAGGTCATACAGAGGCAGAGTCAGGATTTGAACCCAGGTCCTCTGGCTCCAAATTCAGTAAGTGTTCTTTCCATTCTACCATACTTTACTCTGAGTCTTTGGAAAGCATTTCTGCATGTCTAAAGCTTAATAGCTTTGTTTTTGTTTCTATGAGACCTACAACCTATTTGAAAATGGCATTTTAAAATTTTTCTCTTGTTGTTCAGTCATTTCTGACTGTTCATAACCCCATTTGGGGTTTTCTTGGCAAAGGTACCGAAGCGGTTTGCTGTTTCCTTCTCCAGTTTATTTTGCAGGTGAGGAACTGAGCCACACAGGATTAAGTGACTTGCCCAGGGTCACACAGCTATTAAGTGTCAGAGGCTGGATTTGAACTCCAGGCCTGGCATTCTATGCACTGC